TGATGAGGATCTTCATATTGTAATTAAGTAGAGAGATGGGTCTATAGGAATCACAGGCCCTTTGGTCCCTGTCTGGTTTTGGAATTAGTATCACATGAGCCTCGTTCATGAAAACTGGCAGTTTGCCTTGTTCTAAGCATGCAACATATAATTGTTGTAATTTAGGAGCTAACACCGAAACGTTTCTTTATACCATTTCCCATGTATACCATCTGGGCCCGGGGACTTGTTAGTAGGGAAGGAGGAGATGGACATTTCTATTTCCAAGCATGGAAAGGGAGCTTCCAGGCCCTCCCTCTCTTCAAGAGAGAGAGTAGGCAAGGAAAGTTTGGCTAATTCTGTCGACAGAGTCTGGGAGGAGAGAGAAGTTGTTTGAGCATAAAGATTACAATAATAGCGGTTAAATTTGCCAAGTATATCTGAGGCTGAGGTGAGTAGGACCCCAGAGACAGAATAAATTGCAGGCACTACCATTTGGTAACAGGGGACGGCAACCAGATTAGCTAGGAGTTTTCCATTTTTTATCTCCAAACTCAAAAAGTTTCCCCACCAAGGTTCTGGCATCAAACAGCGTAAGGTTAGTAAGATGCAGTTGCAAATCCCAGCTAATTTATCCCAGACTAGCACAATGTTCCAGGGTTGCAGCTCCCACAAAAGCTGCAGCTGCATTTCCCTCCTGCTCCTCCAGCTGGGAGGCTTCCCAGGAAGCTGATTCCTTATTTAGAGTCCAGTAGTCTGCCAAATCTAGCTACGTTATGGCAGTTGCATTCTGTATTCACTTTGGGGCCAGTCTCCAACAGCCAGGGTCTAGCTGACCCCCAACCCTCAAAACAAATTCAAGGGGAGAGTAGTCAGACAGGGCCGCCGGCAGGTAGGCCACTGAGTCACCTGGGCCAACACAGAAGAGGTTCCAAACATCAGATCAATGCGTCCCCCCCCCCCCAATATCTATAGCACATCTTAATCTGCGCATGTAGCCTGGCTGGCAAGGAAAAGAGGAGACAAACATGTGCCTTCAACATGGGTATGCTCATGTTGATGAAGTCAAGAGCCTCTTTCCCACAGCTGGCCTGGTGATTTCTGGGAGGCTGCAGTCCCATAATGTAAATACATCATTAACCATGCCATCCAGTATTCACAGCAATCACAATAAATTATACCTACAGACTCATCAAAAGAAAAAAAAACACATTGACACAGTCTTTCTCCACTGGCTGCATGCCATGAATGATGGCTCCCTAGGTGACAAGCAAATGTAATTAAGGAGCAGGGTATACCTAATGACTTCAGTGACCAAATATGGGCATGACCACATTTGGTAAATGATGTCATCCTGGATCCCCATGATATCATTGACAGAATATGGTCATGTTCATATTTGACCAATGAAGTCATCTGGTATACCTGGCCCCTTTGTGATCAGGATAGGACATGTCAGAGTGTTTTTTTTTTCACTAGAAGATGACTGATGATGGATTTACACTGTGAGGCCCTTTTTTTTTTTTAAATGAAGGACTTGTCAAACCACTTGGCCATAGCTGTGTTGAAGAGGCCCTTGTCTTCATCAACATGGGATCAAGGGTTATCCCCCTGGCAATTTACACTCCCCATGTTAAGGATATATAGCCTAGTGGGGTTTAGGAGAAAGGTTGTTGCAAACCTTGTCCCTCCCCTTTCCTGGCCTGCCAAGCTGAGCGATGGAAAAGGTTTTGACATAGATTTTTAGTAGTGTCAAGTATGAACTTTGAGGGACCCCATGCTAATGTGTCAACATCTGTCCTATCCCTTTGTTTGCATTCAGCTGTTAGCCAGAATCCCCAGCTGACAACTAAATGGGCCAAGCAGGGATACAGCTCTGGTTGGTAGGATGCTAGGGGCCACTGGCTCACTAACAACCAACCTGAACAGAAAATTGTCACTCTTAGTGACTGCTAAATGTTTCAATTCCTGCCGCAGACAGACCTATAGCTCATCCAAAGTAATGAATAGGGATAAGCTGAACTTCCCTGAGTTCAGATTGAGCAGGGTTCGGATGTCATACTCAAATCCAATTAAACTCAATGGGAGTCAGACATGTCAAATAAAAAAATGCCCATTTTCTGAGTGAAGACAAGGGCTTATCAACAAAATAGTATGGGGGGGGGGGGGGGGGGGCACTGTCCTGCAGAACATGTATTAAAAAAAAAAACAAATGAAAATAAAATAAAATGTTATCTGATGGCAGTTTCAACTATCATTTAATTTTCTTTGTAAATGTCACTTTTGCTGTAGCAAATCCTACAGCAAGCAAAAAAAATTTTTTGTGTAGCTTCCCCCTCCCCCCCCCCCCCCCCCCCCCCTCCCAATCCATACCAGACGCTTTTGAGTACAATATAAAGTTTAAAGGTGTATCCAACATAAAGAAAAATGTGTGAGGTCCCCATAACAATCCATACCAGATACTTAATCCGAGCATGCAGCCTGGATGTCCTGGAAAGGGGGGACATCCTGAACCATTACAGGTCACATGCTCTCAACATGGAAGTGGGGGTATCTTGCCAGGAGCAGAGGTACCGTGTTCCCTGGCAAATCACTTTTGTCCCTATGCTGATGAGGACAAGGGCATCTTCCCCACAACCCTGGCCTGCTTGTTGTGGGGACCTATGGATACTTCCTCTACCACCCTTGAGAATTAGTATGGGGTACAGCAGTTCATTAAAAATTCCAGAAAAGTCCTAACGGTTCCAAAACTTCTCACAGTCACAACTTAGAAATGTTAATATATTTTTTTAAGAATAAGGAGAAAGGAAAGCAAAGTGACTCTCACTGTATTGACAGCAACAGATTCTTGGCTGGCCTCTCTATGTCTCAGCAAGCTATTAACATGAGAGCCAAAATCATGTTGCTAAACCTTTAGACAAGAGAATAGACAGAAGAGGCAGCTTTGCTTTAAAGTTAGCTTTGCGTGCTGAGTTGTTTCCAGTAATAACATCTTGTTTCTTAAAGAGACCTAAACCAATTTTATCTATCTGCCAGTATGGCCAAACTAGAAATAATAACAAGTATCTCAAGTGACCATAAATTGTTTTGTGCACCTATCTTTTGCCAGCCACCTAGGCAGAAATGTCCATAATCTTAATGCCATCATTAGCAGGTAAGAGTAGTGTGGTGTACCCAATATTAGGGATGAACTTCAAATTTGGGCTAATCATGGGTTTGTTCCGAACAAAAGCCATTTACAGTTCAAGAAAATGTTGAACTAATGTTGCCATTAGCAGCTACAGCACCCATTTACTAATATTGCACTTTCTGACCTCTGACTTATGATCAGGCAAATTGCCCTATAAAAGTTAAGGTTACCAGCAGCCTTTTGTCATTGTCTTTTGGAGACTTGGAGTTGATAGGAAGCACTCACAGAGTATTTGCAATGAGATATAGTTACTGTTATAGTATACAGTGCTGCTAAACAGTGCTATATATAGTCTCATACACAGTCAGTGTGTGTTGGAGACTTGGAGGCGATAGGGAGAGCTGATAGAGTGCTTTCAGGGAGAGGTAACTACTTCTGTAGCAGAGTGTGTATTCACAGTGTATTCACTGTGATCAGATACAGATATAGTCCTCTATAACTCCTTTTCCAACAGTTCCCTGGGTTCTTGGACCCGATGAGGCAGAGGTGGCTGGACCAGTTATCTGCAGCTAGGTGAGAGGACCTCCACTATCACAAATAGCATGTAGGCAGCTGTGCCATAGCCTGATAGCATGCAGCGTTGCCAATAGATTCAGCCACTGTGGGGAACCCCTCCATGATTATTACCAAAGTAGTCCAGTTCCAGTGGAGTGGCATTTGTTCTCCATCCTTGGATCCTTCTAGCTGTTCACTTGTGTTACCAAAGCTACTGAACTTCACTGTGAGGGACGCCGAGGATAGTCACAAATAGATTTTTTATTTTCTGAAGGCTGATGGGGACCCTTTGTTTCACAGCAATTATGTTATGCAGCCACATTTTAACCTGATTGAGTCACAGAGACATTGCAGTGAAGAGTCCATGTATGTTTTGCCTTCATATGTTTGTGCAGCTTTTATTATTCTGCATTTACATCTGTTTTTGTTCCATCCTGAACCTGTTTTTCATTAGTTCTTCTAATTGTTCACCTGTATAGTAAACTGAAATTTATAGTTCCCTGGATGATGATTCAGTGCGTTACACAAATAAATACACAGTTAGTGTGAGCAGGAGACTTGAAAAAATAGGGAGAGCTGTGCTGTGGCCTGTACGGCGTGAATAAGCATTTTTTTGTGTCTTAATATGTGCGTAGACAGCCTATGTTACTCTATGGGGGCGAAGGGGCTGTAGGAATAGAGCCACAGGTCCTAATTTGACAGGCTTGTGGATAGAGGAGTATAACTAAAAACACAGGTAGTGTGTATTTGGGGCCACTCACTCACACCTGCACACCTGTCAAATTAGGACCTGCAGCTGTATTTGTACAGCTGCTGAGTTCCCATAACAGAAGAAGTGGTTCCAGTCATACAAATAAACCGCTCATTCACACTATAAGGGCCAGATAACCCATTTGAATGAGCCCTTATTTATATGTTTTTTTATTTTTTTATATTTTTACCATTTCATTTTTTATTATTTTTTACATTTTTATTTTTTAATATTTTTACATTTTTACCAGCCCGTTGGGCTCTTTGGTGAAATATCATGGGTCAAAACAGACCCCTGATGTCTCACTTCTGAGACAGAGAAAGTGATTGAGGACACAATTCTCAATATCTATCTCTACAGCTTCAGCTGAATAGAATGAATGAACAGTAAGAGCTCTGCACTGTCTCCCTGTTTATTCACACATGGAAGCATAGTAAACACAGCTTACTATGCTTCAGTTATGAATGCACACAGTGTTTGATCAGTACCAATGTTCATTCAATAAAGGAAGAGGCCATAAATGACAGGAGGGGTATTAGGGGCAGTATTTACTAGTACTAGTATGGTATTTACCTGTAGTTCTTCAATGCACCTGCTGAACACCACAGGAGGCAGAGGAGGAGCATCTGGCTTCCAGTTGCTGCAGGGGAGAACTACAGGCGACCTATTCCAGTCAATGCTGCCCTCCACCCCTTCTGTGCAGGTTCCCCTTCCATCTGATTGACAGCTTCCCAGGCCCCCTCTTCCATCGATGAAACCTGGGTCCCATACAGGGGGCCAGTGGTACCCTCTTGTCAGTGGCCCTGCCTGTATTGATAATGTCAGGCAGGTCTAAAATAAGAGGCAGAAGCTCAGCATGTTCAGTTAGTAGAGAATGGACAGATTTTGTACCTATAAAAAAATGCATCTAAAGCATATGATTCACTCTTTCAAATTAGGATCCCTTAGGCTTTAAGTGTGCAGGCTGAATCACTGGATAAGGTTTGCACAGTACGCTCTAATTTTAATTTCACAAGAAACTCTGTTTGGGCTCTAACTTTGAAACGTTGACCTAGTAAAATTGCTTATGGAGCCTACTTTTTTTGGGTGAGGGGGGGGGGTATGAAAAATGACCCTCCCCAAACAGGATAGTGCACTAAACCAGTAGGTAAATAAGAGAACCAGAGTGAATTCCCTCCCTGGGAAATTAAACAGTGATCTAATCAAAGTTATTTGGAGCAGAGGAACTACTGCAATCCACATATAACATTACCATAAGTATATACTGTAGATTCCCACCGGTAGGAAAATAATATAAGTTTTATAAAAGAAAAGCTGTATAATAATACAATGTACAAACAGGTATGATCAACAAAGGACATGATGGGAGTCCTGGTGGAATTTTCCACACATACCCAGGTATATATAATTATTCACAGAGATACCAATAGATGAATGTTGCAGCAAAGCCCAGTTGCAGGGGCCCCTGAGGACGATTACAATACACTGTTAATTTTTCTGTTGGGGACCTAAAGACAAGGTGACTGGCGATGGGGAGATCCTCCAACTGTTGTCCTGATAGCCTGAAACACAACTTCTCACACTCAGAAACTGAGTTTTGGCATTGGAACTCAGAATCATCCAATCTACTCTGAAGTTTAGTTCATCCCTAGTAGTTTTCAATCTGACATGCAACCTCTAAATACCAGAAATGGCCATTGGAAGCCTAACCTGGCTCTAGCCTATGCTGGTTATCGAGTCCTAAGCTAAAACTAGCTATAGAATCCCAGACCAGAAGGGACAGGGTTAACAAAAATAACAGAAACTGCATATCGACTCTCTTATGATAAACAAGTTCACCTACTAATATACTGGAAAGTGACCACTACATACATACGTTAGCACAGACCAAGCTATCTGACACTGTGCATGGGAAATAATAATAACTATAGGACAGAGATTTGTCTGTCACTAGGATTCAGATCAGGAAGTTATGGACACGTACAGATGAACTGCCAGAACACGGGAACAATTACCCAATAGTCTGTGCCTCTGGTCTGGATAAAATACAGTATTGCAGCAATGCAGTTCCTTTATGTGGACATGTAATGCCAGCTCCTCTCTCTCTTCACTTCTTCCTTCTGGGTTTTTTAAACCATCCCTCCAGAGACAGGAAGCGCTAATATATAATTAATACATAGTTATACATAACACTGTGATATCAGATAACAGTAGATCCCTACATTTAAATACAGTGCATTGAGTCTGTATAATACTTATAGCTTTTTCTGTTGAATAATACACTATTTTGATTTCTTGATTAAAAGCTGCCTAGTCTCTTCATCTGAAATTGTGGCCTAGTAAAGTTTTTTTGAGGTACTGTACAATAATAACTTTATCCATGAAGATACATGATCTTTATTAATACAATTTTTATAATAAAACTAGTCATAGTTAAAATTACATAAGTGGTAAAGTAATGACTGCAATAACATGTTCCATCACCAGCTTGAGTAATCCAATATTATTACACAGTGGGTAAGTCCATAGATAACATTGATAATATCTCCTATAATGGTTATGATAGGCTGTTTTAAAGTTTAATGCATTGTCTAAGAAGCAAGGGGATCAGTAACTATAAAGACATTGAAAGTTAAGTTTTAATGCTAGATGAGTGATTATGTGTCTCTCTAATAGATATTATTCCACCCAGTTCAATTTAACTGAACCATTAGAAATTAACTATGTATTAAAAAGTTACAACATTACGGCTTGAATATAGCTGGTATAAGAGAAATGTCTCTTAAAGATGGGACACTAATAGGGTGCTACAAAAAATAGAAAACAAACCTAATTAGGGAATGTCACATATAAGTATCATAAAAGATATCCAAAAGCGAAAACCAACAATAAATATTGCATTCTTGAGTGCATTGGAGTGTACGATCTCATACTTTAAAAAAATGGGAGTGAAACACCACATGTGCCCAAGATGTGATTAGAAGTGTTCCTTAAATTGGCCACTGTAGCTGCCACCCAGACACCAAACATATGGTGCTGAGAAAGATGGTGAGCAGTTTGTCTCAAGGCACCACATGGAATGCCCCACAGTCAGGGTGGTCTACCTTATGACTTGCTACTGTGGGTCAGTCTACTTGGATAAGACCAAGAAACAATTTTAAAAATGGGTGCATGACCACATGTATTATATCAGTAATAGCAGGATGCGCGGTCGGTGAGTGCGCATTTTTTCTGTTTGATTCCAGTCACCTAATGAGGAGGAGGCCTTCACATGTTTGAATATTGAATATTTTATTGTGAAAGGACTGTATGAACTATCTCACTTTTATCTATTTAACTACATTACAGCGCTGCACTATATATTTTATGTTTCTGTTATGAGGTCCAAGTGATTCCTTGGAGTGTTTCAGCAGCTGATCTATTGAGCGCTCGCTTTATTTTTTATTTTTTTATTAATAGCAAGATTGTATCACCAATCAGCCAACATATTGGTCTGACACATAATAAATGTCATAATTATGTGTCAGACCAATATGTCGGCCTATTCTTCATATTTGCTATATGTCTTATTAATGTGGCACTTTTTTTAGAGCCAAATTTCATTGTCACTTTATGTGGCCTAGTAAAACTGCTTACATACTGTGTAGCAAGCCTATACAATATTTCTGGCTTTTGTTCTGTGAAATATTACACTCTAAATTTTATTTCCTAATTAAAGCTTGCCTAGTCTCCCCATATTAAATTGCAACCTACTAAAGCTGCTTACATAGCATGCATTGAGTCTGTAAAATATTTCTGTGTTTTTTCTGTGATATTATTTTGACGGCCTTTTTTTATTAAAAAAAAAAACAAACAGTACATCATTCTTGGGCAATGTGCATCAGCACAAAAGCCCATTCTTCTTTTGGAAGGTATGTGAGTGATTTGCAGGAAGGAGGTTGTAGAAGACTGGGCAGAGCCAAACAAGGACGTTTATACTTTGAGAAGCTTAGAGAGGCCATTAGGAGGAAAAGGCCAAACAAGAATCTGAAAACAATCCACATTCACCATGTGTGACCATACACATCTTTGGTAACAAAAGATTTAACATATTCTAGATTCCACTTGTTTGGTTCAATGAAGGACAGTCTCCAGGCACAACAATTTGATGACACAGATGAAGTGAAAGTAGCTGTATCCAAGTGGGTACAACCAGGGGTGGACTGACCATTTGGAAACTCGGGCACTGCCCGAGGGCCCGGGGTCAGTAGGGGGCCCCATGAAATGCCCCTGGTACCTTTTTCATAGGCTTTTTTGAGTTTGGGCAAGGACACAGGGGCCACATGATCCCTTATTGCCCGGGGGCCCCATGAGTTGTCAGTCCGCCCCTGGGTACAACAGTGCACACCTGAATTTATTGTCAAAGCTTAATTGAACAAGCTGACGTTAGAAGCTGTTTGGCTACCATGCACAGCTGCACCAGATTTGCACACTACAGTTTTAGTAAATCAAACCCTATATTGAGTAATACCTTTGTAAATAGATAGAATTACTTTACCAACATGTGAAATGTGATAAACCAATGTATATTAATATGAAAAATCATGCCCACCAAAATCATGAACACTTTTGCATTACTTTTGACACACCCCTTGTATTAGTATTATCAACTTTTATGCTTTGAGTGGTCATGTTTATATCAGCTTTGACAAATTATGTTTGAGTTGTTTGAATTTCATTGCTGGGATATATTTCTATATACTCTGCTTGTTTTCGCTCAAAAATCCTTTTTTTTCTGTCAAAACAACTGATTGATAGCTAACTCTTCAATTGTCAGTACCTGTGCTACTTTTTTCTAATAAATGGGGCCTTTCCCTTTATTTTCTTTTAGAATATAACTTTAGGTTGGTGTTATTAGATAACATGAGGTTGTTGTTGCTGACAGTCTGAGTTTTTTTTTTCTTGGCATCATTTAATAGTAAAAATAATTAACTGCAAGAACAATGTGCATGTAGACTCGGATGCACTGAAAGGTGGAGCCGGTAAGCTGGGGAAAAGGGTTACAGAATCGGGGGGAGGACACTGACAGGAAGATCAGAGAATTGGCTGACTGACAAGAAGATCAGAGGATTGGCTTACTGACAGGAAGAGCTCAGCACACTGACAGAAGCTGCAGGAGCACTGTGAGTGTTGTATTGTGAAGGGTCAGGAAGGACTGCCTGGGAGAATCTTGGAGTACTTCAGAGTATTTGGAAGTACTTGGGAGCATCTTGGAACACGTATGAACATTTTAAAGTACTTGGGAGCATTTTGGAGTATTTGGGACTATTTTGGAGTACTTGGGAGTATTTCAGAACATCTTGGGTTGCTGGGAGTAACTTGGAGTACTTGCGAGTAACTTGGAGTTCGATGCCTGCTTCTAGGTTTTTGACCATGTAGAGCCTTCCTTGATGCTTAACGATGAGCTTCGTGGGGAAACCCCATTGGTAGCCAATTCCATGGTTCCGCAGCGCTTTAGTTATGGTAATAAGTTTCTTGCGGTTGAGAAGTGTAGCTTTGGATAGATCCGCCAATAGTTTTATATTTGCCTGAGATGCTGGAATTGAGGTAGGGTTTCTAGCAGCCGTCATGATTTTTTCTTTCACGTGGTAGAAGTGCACACACGCTAGGAAATCTCTAGGTATTGCGGCAGGTAGAAAGGATGGTTTTGATATCCTGTGTGCACGATCTATGGCAATTTCCACGTCTGTTAGAGAAGGGATGAGGTGCCTCATGTATTGCTGGATGTAAGGGACTATGTCACCTGTAGTGATAGATTCTGGTATTCCGCGGAATTTAATATTGTTGCGCCTGGAGCAGTCTTCTAGGTCTGCCAATTTTAGGTTAATTTGTTCTATGTCAGCTCCATGGTCTGTGTGGGCGTCTATGAGGTCATTGTGTACTGTGAACATTTCCCCCATTCTGTTCTCAATATGGATGCGTCGGTCCTGATTTTGTACCGCGGATGAGATTTGCGATATAGTTGCAGTCAGGTCGTCATGTAGTGTTTGTCACAGGGATAGTAGCATACTTTTCATTGAAATTTTTAGTGTTAGGATGGTCAGAAGCAGGAAAGTTTTCAATTAAAGATGGAGTAGAATTGGCAGTAATTGTAGGAGAATAGGAAGGTTGCAGGTCAGAAACAGATAGTATGTCCAATCTGGGTCTGGACTTAGCAGGACTACTTGTAGAAGGAGACAGGGGAAGAGAGGACTCACCCGGGTCTCCTGGGTATAGTGGTGCCTTGAGCCTAGGGTCTGTGGTCTGCGCTGTGTCTCCCTCTGCCTGTGTGAGGAGACTGTCAGCAGAGGAGCTGGCGCCATCTTGGATGCAGGGGCTGAGAGCAGGGAAGAAGCTCATCAGCTTCCCTGGTTGCCCTGGTGATATGCAGCGTCGGGGCATGATCCGGAGGGTGGCAAGAGCCTCTGTTACCCCTTATGTCTCTGGGAAGAGGCTGCAGTATCCCTGTGTCTAGTATGAGCCGCGGTTAGGCTGACGGCGGGACAGAGCTGTCACTCACGAGCTGTCATCCCAGAGCCAGCCACGCATGCACCCCCCCTTGCGAGTAACTTGGAGTACCTTGGAGTACTTGGGAGTAACATGAAGTACATAGGACTATTTTGGAGTAATTAGAAGTATCTTGGAGTACTGGGAGTATGTGGGAATAACTTGGGGTGCTGGGAGTAACTTGGAGTGTTGGGAGTTACATGGGTAACATTTTGGAGTATTTGGGAGTATTTTTGAGAACTTGGGAGTATTTTTGAGGACTGGGAATAATTTGAGGAACTGGGAGTAACTTGGAGGACTAGGAGTAACTTTGTAATACTAAGAGTATATTGGGGTAACCTGGAGTGCTGTGAGTGACTTGTGGTAACTGGGAGTAAATAGGAGCAACTGGACGTGTAAAAAAAAGAGAAAAAAAAAAATTAAATTTTTTATTCTATTTTATTTATTATTGAATTTTTCTTTGATATCCCCAGTAGAAAGCTGTTCAAATGTCTAACAGGATTGCTCCATGTATGCGTTCCTTGAAGAGCTGTTTGAGGGTGAATACTGCTGTGCGAGATGTGAGCTAGTTGTTTCTCTGGAAGCCCAAATCCTGGATCTAGTTGTGGAGTCCTTCCAATGATCAGTAACAACACTTGTGGCCTGACACAAACAGAGACCCTAACTAACTAACTATAGGCCTGGAATCAGTCTCAAGGCGCCAACACTGTAATGAGGTGCGTGCACAATCTTACCGACCCAGGTCTGCTTTGCATCCGCTGGTGACTCTAAACAGAACAAATGTCTCTCCAACAAGCATGCAGTCTCGCTGTATATGTTGCTTAGTTCCTCTGCTCTCATCAGCCTTCCTGGCAGCAATCTCATCAGCTTCCTGGCAGTAATCTCATCAGCATTCCTGGCAGCAATCTCATCAGCTTCCTGGCAGCAATCTCATCAGCTTCACTTAGCTGCAGCTCTGGTTACGGAGGGACGCTTTCACACCTGGATGTCATCAGATTCTCAGCTAACAGGGCCCCTTATTCACCATTCTCCAAAACATGGGCTTCTCTCTCTCCTTCCTGTTCTCTCTAATTCTGTGTGCAAAACCCCACCTCTTCATGAATATACAAATATCTATGCAGTCTGAGGCTGTGTTAGAAAAACAGTGACATCTTGTGGCTAAACCACAGAATGTCAGTCAAATCATTAATTTACTTCCACACAAACAGTGTTCAAACAATGAGAGCTGTTTCCCCATCTCACAGGGATGACTTTGCAGTTGGTTGCCCGCTCTACAGTAAACATGGACTGCATCTTAATGGGGAGGGTGCAGCTCTGTTGGGGGAGAAGATGGCCAAAAAGGTTAGAGGAGATTTTAAACTAGGTAATGGGAGGGAGGGATCAGAAGAAGTGATGGCTAGCAGTGAGTAGAAGTCAAAGGGTGCTAATGGAGGCATTAGGGGGAGTATATATATTATACCAAAACAAGGGGGAAGTGGGTTGGCAAAAAATAATCACAGCCAAAGAGCAACTAATGAGGAAATAATACATGGATGTATAAAACTAAAAGACATGTACACATAAGCTAACAAAATGGAAGAACAGGAGCTGCTGATGCTCGAGGAGGCTCTTGACTATCAGAGACTTGGCTTGACAGCTCACATGACTGGCTGGCAAATATCCAGGGGTATTTGTTATATGGTAGGGACAGGGAAAGTAGAAGAGGAGGAGGTTTATACCTGTACATCAAGAAAGATTTTCTTGTCAACTTGAGTGATGATATTGCAAATGGGGCAAGGGGGGAGGTGAAGTCCCTATGGGTGGCGCTTCAAAGGGAAGAAATAAGTGGTAAAATGATAGTGGGGGTATCCTACAGGCCCCCTACCTGGAAGGATGAGGAGGAGTTGGATCTCCTGTCACAGGTAGACATGGCGATAATGCAGGGCAATGTCATCATTATGGAGGACTTCAACAATGCAGATTTTGATTAGGCAGAAGGAACAGCAAATTCAATTCTTGAATGTTCTACAGGACAACTTCATGTGCCAACTGGTGGATGAAAGAAAGAATGCATTACTAGATCTAGTAATTACAAATAACACAGATCTGGTCACAGATGTAGGGATATGGGATAGCTTGAGAACAACCGGAGGTCACAGGATAATTATTTCAGCATAAATCATAGGCACATGAGTAATACAAGAACACTTAATTTCAAAAGAGCAAACTTTCCTAAACTGCGGGAAATTATTCAGTATATTAAATAGGACCAAATCCTTGAAACATTGAACACAGAGGAAAAATGGGAGTACTTAAGGAACACTCTAAATAGAGGTATTAGCCAGTGTATCCCAATAGGCAACAAAAATAAAAGAGCTAAGATTAAACAAGTGTGGCTAAACTTTAAGATAAAAAGAAGCATTAAAGAGAAAAAATTGCCTTTAAAAAAAATAGTGGCAGAGGGGTCATTAACAGCATTCCAACACTACAAGGAATGCAATAAAAAAAACATATAAGAATGCAATCAGGAAGGTTAAGATAGACCACGAGAAACACATAGCAGAGGAGAGTAAAAAAAAATCCCCACAAATTCCTTAAATCTATTAACAGGAAAAAAGTAAGGCCAGAACATATTGCCCTATAAACGATGATGAAGGGAAGTTGGTTACAAATGACAAGGGAAAGGAAAGTATACTAAATGCATTCTTTGCCTCAGTTTTTACAAAGGAAAAGAAGGGGTTTAGTAGTGAGGATTGCATCATTAGCAATGCATTAGATAATACACGCTCATGGCTTACAGAAGTCGGTATCTGAAAAATACTTGAAAAGCTTAATGCAAATAAATCACCAGGACCAGATGGTTTACACCCAAGAGTTCTCAAAGAACTGGTTCCAGGATGAAGCCCTGGGGCACAATGTCCTCAATGTCAGATTATTCTCAATGTCTGATTATTGTTCTCAATGTCAGATTATTGCCAGGTCATGATTCCTACTTTTTATGGACAGCATACTAACAGAAATAATATCAGATGAAGGGCCAACAGGGTACCAATGTTTTAAAAAAGAGCAGAGAGACTTCCGGTTCCGGCGCCGGATGCTGTAGCTAGCGGGACCCGCGGCTCCCGGGAACCCGCCCTTACAAGACCTGCTATCTACCTCGGGGACCCCCGCATCTTAGCTTTGGGGTGCCCCCTCACATCCCGCGGCGGCCCCAGCATGGAGCGGTACCTTCTGCCGGCGCAGCCCGGCCACGAGTCGGCTGCTAGAGCAGAGGGGTGCGGCTCTCCCCCTCCTGCAGCCAAGATGGCCGCCGAAGATGCCTGTCACAGCATGGACACAGGCACAGAGGGAGATCGCAACGTGGGAGCAGGTATGTCTGCACCTCTCCCCACCATCCTCACTGCCTCTCCACTCACATCAGGCACTGACAGCTCTTCTGAGCAATAAATTAAAATAGCTCAGGCAGTTTCTTCTATCTTGCTCCCAAATATCACGCAGGCTGTAGATAAGGCTGTCAGCCTGAGCATTGAACAGCTGCGAATAGATTTGGGCGAACATTCTAAACGGTTATCTGTGGCTGAGCAGCGCTTATCTGACTTAGAAGATGAAGTCCATTCCATACAAGCAGTTACATCACAATCCAATCGTATACAGCAAAATATTTTGGATAAAATCGACGATCTGGAAAATCGATCACGTAGAAATAACTTACGCATCGTGGGTCTCCCAGAATCATTTAATACAGGTTCTCTTCCCGATCTCTGCTCAGCACGAATCCCTGCAGCTTTGGGTCTATCCTCCTCCTGTCAGGTAGAGAGAGCTCATCGCCTGGGGCCCCCATCTAACGAACGCCAGGTGCCACGTTCTGTGATTGTACGCTATCTCAACTATGCTGATCGCATGGCGATCCTCACCTCTTTTCGTAATTCCCGTTCTCTACAAATTGAGGGTCACAAATTATTAATATTTGCAGACTATTCACAGGAAGTATCATGTAAACGGAAAGCATTTCAGCAAGTTTGCGCCACTCTTCACCAGAAAGGAATAAAATTCACATTAGCGTATCCGGCCACGTTACGTTTCAATGCACCATCTGGGGAATCCAAATCTTTCGTCCACCCTGAAGAAGCCTACCAATACCTCCAAGATCACCTAAATGACGGGGATCCGTCGACGCGTCATGCGGGCAGGAATTCTGGCCCTAGAGATCAACGTAGTCCTCGCAAAGACCCACCTAAGCGTCAACGCACAAACCCAACGTCTTCCAAAATCTCGCCCGCCTTGAAGGTTTAAGAGGCCATTGGTCTCTACATATTAGCTTCAAGCTTATCTCTTAAAGCTTATCTTTTAAAAAAATGGGTCTCCAACTGCCCGCCAACCATTTCGGATGTCAAATTGGACTTACACTTTCTACTTCGTTTGGAGCGGCTCAGCATTCATAACTCCCCATCTACTCCAGGAGAGGAAAAGTTCAACCGCAAGTGGGGACAATATGTTTCAAGAATACTCCCTTCCTCGGAGTCTCAGCACCCCTCACACGGATTTCTAGCCTGGTCCTAATTTAGCCTCTGGGATATTCCTGATGCATTATGTATTGCTCGTATTAGGGGTAATCTGACTGTTTAAATTACACTTTCTGGGCCTTCTTGGACCTTTACTTCACTTCGCTATTTTGACAATCTGCCCTCCTTCCACTTTGGATTCAGTTTTCAGTTTTCTTATTTTCTCTTTCTCTCACAACTTCGCCTCATTGCTGACTCTTAGTGAAATGTCCCCATACTAGCCCATCTACACCCCCACACACTGCCGAGCTGTTTCTTATTACTGACATGTTCTTCCGGTCATCTGGCCTCTGAACTTAGGCAATACATTCCTGAGTCTTCTACTTCTCCCTCCTTTCTCTTTCTCTTTTTTTTCTTTTTTTCTTTCTGTTTTTCCTGATGGTCTATTCCTTTCTAGACTTGTTTTCTCAATTTTCTTTCTCCTTCTTTCCCTATGGTCTAATCTCTATTCTATGTTTTCTTATTTTGCTCCCACTTCCTATCCATATGCACGTTGACCCTCCTCCTGGTCATTTGACTATTGGCTAACATGGATTATATCTGCTTATCTCTCTAGACTTATACCTACGCATGTTTAGACTCGTATCTTCTCAAAAACCTGGATACATTACTCCTAAGCCCTTACACTTCGACACTTCGTGCGATGTCTCCCTTTTCTATAAGTAAATCTTTTATTCCCACACATCTCTGCTTTCTCTTTGTCTCTCTTGGGGCTTTTGCATATTCTTTATGAGAACAATTGGTATTTCTGGATTTTGTTACCTGCTTTGACATGTTGCTACGCTATGTATACTGTATAATATTATCGTTGGTTCATGTGTGTATAAGATAAAACCAAATAAAGTCTCTTTAAAAAAAAAAAAAGAGCAGAGATACATTCCTGGAAACTGCAGGTCAGTCAGTCTAATATCAATAGGATGTAAACTATTGGAGGAGATAAGAATGGACTATAAGTTTTTGCAGATCAAAACAGCATCATTAGTAGTAATCAGCATGGCTTTATGAAAGGTCGTTCTTGTCAAACCAATCTGTTAACATTTTATGAGGAAGTGAGCGGCCATCTAGATGATGGAAGAGCAGTGGATGTGGTGTACCTGGATTTTGCTAAAGCATTCAATACAGTTCCCTATAAACGCTTCATTTACAAAATGAAGTCTGTAGGCATGGACCAGAGGGTTTGTAAATGGATAGAAAATTGCTTTCAGGGGCACATCAAAAGGGTGGTGATTAATAGCATTTATTCAGACTAGTCTGGAGTGGTAAGTGGGGTGCCCCAGGGCTTCATCCTGGGACCAATTCTTTTTAATTTTTTCATAAAAAATATAGAGGTAGGTATGAATAGCTCAATTTCAGTATTTGCAGATGATACAAAGCTAAGTAGGAAAATAACATCATATATAGAAGAAGACCTCAATAAAATTAGGAAGTGGGCAAATACATGATAAATGAGGTTTAATGTTGAAAAATGTAAAATATTGCACTTGGGAGCAAAAAA